GTTGTTTGCTTCGCAGGGATGCCAGTTCGCAGTTATAAAACAAAACGTGTATGCCCAAGCATGAAGGGCCTGGGGTAGCTCCTAGGTTTCATCATACAATTTTTTTTCTGTTTTAGATTTCTTCATCCACTTTCACCGTTGTGAATGGCACAATATGTTAGTTTTTTTTTTTTCTTTCAACCTGTGCATTGCATGTATGCCTCAACATTAAAAGGAGTGGGTGGATGTGTGGTGGAAGATTCTAATGGTGGGCACACCACACACTTTCTCTGGCAGAGATTTCTTCATCCACATTGATTGATGGAGGAATCTGTTAGGAATGTTAGACTGTTACATGTATGTGTGTGTGTGTGTGTGTGTGTGTGTGTGTGTGTGTGTGTGTGTGTGTGTGTGTATATATATCCTTTTTTGTATGCCCAAGCATTAGGAGCGTGGAGTAGTCAGTGGGCAGTAGCTCCCTTGCTTTGACAAATTATGTTTTAGACCTCTTCTGGCTGAGATTTCTTTATCCACATCTGTTGATGTAAATGAATGGAGGATTCTGTTAGGAATGTTAGACTGTTACATGTACTGTGTGTGAGATATACACCCCAAAACATATTCTGCTACTTCTCCTGAGTATGAGTATACCACATGTGAGAGCCTTTTTGGCAGCTTAACCACGTACAGGAGCCCAAAAATCCAATGACCACCTTCAGGGTTTCAAAGTGTGTAATACTCTCATTTCACTTCCAGACTACCTATCATAGTTTCGGAGGCCCTGAAATTCCAGGAAAGTACAAAACACCCCCAAATGACCCCTTTTGGGAAAGCAGACAGTCCAAGGTATTTGCTAAGAGAATAACAACAGACAAAACCACAAATAGAGGTGGAGTAACCTATTCAGTAGCTCTCTGGCTCACCTACCAAATGATTACTGGTATGGATGCTGAAAAAATTCCCTAAAAACTGAACAAAAAAATACAGCAGCTGTAAAGAACAGACAGTTAAAAGCAGTAGCGAACTGAAAAAATATACAAGACTTTACTGAAAATTCATCAGCAATTACTACAAAAGTATTGAAAAGGAAATTTGTAAAACCTTCCAATCATAGGCTCACATAAATGTCAACCAAATAAATGTAACCCTGAGACCCTTAAACGGGGTATTTCCATGGGTCACTTTCTCTAGGAGTGCAGGAATTGTACAGACACCTCTCAATTCCAACAAGAGGCAACATCCATGTACCAGAGATACAGGGAGAGAGGCTATCCGCATAGAGCATTGAGAAAAGCAAAGAAAATGTTATCAACACAAAGAAAAACTTTACTAGAGGTACACAGTAAAAAACAGATAAGTAAATATGCAGGTCCCACTAGGTTCATCACTAAATATGGACAACAGTAGAAGGAAGTGAAAAACACCCTACAAAAGACATTGGCATGTCCTTACAGCTAATCCCATCATCACAGGAATAGTGGGCAAAAATCCCGAATGGTGGCATGCAGAACTGCTAACTTTCTCACAAACCAATTAGTATACACATGTAGCAGAATACATTTTGGCCTACTCTTATGATGAAATTTAATTTTATCGGATATTTATTATAACTTAGAAATATTGTTTTATTTTCAAAAAATTCAGTTTTTTTTTTGTCAAACCCAGTGGTGATCAAATACCACCAAAAGAAAGCTCTATTTGTGTGAAGAAATTATATAAATTTCATTTGTGCACAGTGTTGCATAACCAAGCAATTGCTAGTTAAAGTAGTACATTGCTGAGTAGCAAAAAAATGCTCTGATCATGAGCTCAAGTTTGGACATCCAATGACATGAAAATGGTAGGTTTACCTTTTATCATCTTCACTGTAAAATTAAATGCACATATATGTTAAAAAGATCCAAATGAAAAATATCAAGATATTTACAGTATTTTCTGACTTTATTATTTCTGTGCCTGTACATATACAGAACAGATCCAACTGAAACTTATCAGGACATTCAGAGTATTCTCAGTTTTCATTAGTACTGTACCTATAACAAGTACAATTTCATATATTATATATTTATACAAGTAGTTTCATATGTTAGAGGTGGTCAGAAACAAACAGTAACCTTTCAAAGCACAATTTTTGACAAGTAGAAGAATTTTTATAGTGAGCTGCAAGCTGATCATTTTTGTATTGTCATATTGCACATGCATCTGCACAATCTGTTCCATCTATCTTTGTAAATTCCATCTGTTTATATGAAGATGTGAAAGACAAGCACCCTGCTAAACTAACATTATTTTCATCAATTCATAATATCCAAACCAATTTATAACATTGACTCTGTTTAGGCAATAAAAATGTAATATAAATCTGAGGTACCCAAAAGGAACCTCAGTCTTATTTTGTAAGCGTAGTTACACTGCAGTCACTATACAGTTCTCCGTTGGTATCCATACCACCAAAAATTAGGCAAAGGGTTACGTAACCAAATTTCTCTGACTTGTAATCTTTATTAGGAGAACAGGAATCATCCTCTATCTTCTCTTTAACGTGATCAGATTCGCTGTTTGGTTTTGAGACGTTCATCCTTATTTTCCATGGGAAAAAACACATTGAATGATCTAATCGCGCTGCAGGGCTTGGAGAAACAAACTTCACCCGTGTCCAGGTATGGTTTCCTACAGGAAGGTATAGAAACATAAAATAACCAAGATAAAAGTATTCTTCCACAAAAAAAGTCTCCACTTAATATAAGCCATTGTAGGCTAAAAAAAGCATACGAAAAGGTTAAGAAAGTTCTTATTTAAATGCAATTATATTTAGAGTTTGAATTGAAACCAACTTTTGGTTAAACACGTGAGTTCCAAAATGGTGTGGGAACAGTGGTTTTATGTACTCTGAACCTTTTTAAAATGTGACCCTGACTCAGATATATTATTATTATTATATAGGATTTACAGTGAAGGAAATAAGTATGGTAGGTGTATTGTAACACCGAGAGACAGAATAGCAACAAAAAAATTCTAAAGAAATGCATGTCGAACAAATTATGCACTGATTTGCATGTTCATGAGGGAAATAAGTATTTGATCCCCTATCATTCAGTAGGATTTCTGGCTACCAGGTGTCTTTCATATAGGTAACAAGCTGAGATTTGATGCAGTCTCTTAAAGGGAGTGCTGCTAATCTCATTTTGTTACCTGTATAAAAGACACCTGTCCACAGGAGCAATCAAATTCCAAACTCTCCACCATGGCAAAGACCAAAGAGCTGTCCAAGGATGTCAGGGACAAGATTGTAGACCTACACAAGGCTGGACTGGGCTACAAAACTATTGCCAAGCAGCTTGGTGAGAAGGTGACAACAGTTGGTGCAATCATTCGCAAATGGAAGAAACCGAAAACAACTGTCAGTCTCCCTAGGTCTGGTGCACCATGCAAGATCTCACCTTGTGGAGTGTCAATGATCATGATAACAATGAGGAATCATCCCAGAACTACACGTGAGGATCCTATCAATGACCTCCAGGCAGCTGGGACCAGTCACTAAGAAAACAATTGGTAACACTACGCCGACAAGGATTGAAATCCTGCAGTGCCCGCAAGATCCCTCTGCTCAAGAAAGCACATGTCCAGGTCCGTCTGAAGTTTTCCACTGAATATCTGAATGATGCAGAGGAGGACTGGTTGAAAGTGTTGTGGTCAGATGAGACCAAAATCGAGCTCTTTGGCATCAACTCAACTCGCTGTGTTTGGAGGAGGAGGAATGCTGCCTATGACCCCAAGAACACCATCCCAACTGTCAAACATGGTGGTGGAAACATTCTGCTTTGGGGTGCTTTTCTGCTAAGGGGACAGACAACTGCACCACATCAAAGGGAGGATGACAGGCAATGTACCATCAAATCTTGGGTGAGAACCTTCTTCCCTCAGCTAGGGCATTGAAAATGGGTCGTGGATGGGTGTTCCAGCATGACAATGACCCAAAACACACAGCCAAGGCAACAAAGGCGTGGCTCAAGAAGAAGCACATTATGGTCCTGGATTGGCCCAGCCAGTCTCCAGACCTTAATCCCATTGAAAATCTGTGGAGGGAGCTGAAAGTTCTAGTTGCCAAACGTCAGCCACCAAACCTTAATGACTTGGATCCTTATTTTCCATGGGAAAAGACAAGGATCTGCCAAGAGGAATGGGCCAAAATCCCTCCTGAGATGTGTTCAAACCTGGTGGCCAACTACAGGAAATGTCTGACCTCTGTGATTGCCAACAAGGAATTTGCCACCAAGTACTAAGTCATGTTTTGTGTGGGGGATCAAATACTTATTTTCCTCATGAACATGCAAATCAGTGTATAATTTGTTAGACATGCATTTCTTTTGAATCTTTTGTTGCTATTCTGTCTCAGTGTTACAATACACCTACCATTTGATTTTTAGACTGATCATTTCTTTGTGAGTGGGCAAACATTCAAAATCAGCAGGGGATCAAATACTTATTTCCTTCACTGTATATAGCACCACTAAAACAGAACCACAAACATCCTAGATACAATCCAATCTGAGATATTCCAACAATCTTTCAAAATGACCACTAGTCCATACACAAATTCTTTAAAAGAACAAGATAGCTTCTTAGTAGTCAGCTGCTGCACTCAGGATTATTCACAGCCAGGTGAAAAGAAAAGGAGAACATTTCTAAGAGTAGCCATATCTTTAGATGATACAAAGAGTAGATTTATTCTCCTCACCTGGTGTGCACCTTTATTAGAAGATGTCACAGACCTCAGTGAATGAGAAAAATACAAGTCCCGAGAACCTTAGCGGCTGTCGGCTTGTAGTTCTTAACCACCTCCCACCCGCCATATAGTAAAATGACGGATGCAAGGCGGTTCTCTCGTTCTGGGAGAACGTAATATGACACCCCCCCATCTAACCAGGCATGCGCGGCTCCAGGAGCGCGCAGCGCGGCGATCGGCAGTGCGCTGTGTCCCTCGGACACAGTGGATCACCGATCAACGGAAAGAGCCAAAGATGTCAGCTCGGTCATGTGATCAGCTGTGTCCAATCACGGCTGATCACATGCAAACAGGGAAATGCCGTTATCGGTATTTTCTCTCCTCACGAGCTGTCACGCTGACAGCTTGTGAGGAGAAGAGAGCCGGTAATCGGCATTCCTCAGAGGGGACATGTACACAGATCATCAGAGCACTGATGATCAGTGTGCCCAGAGGATCTGTGTAGCCCCAGCTGTGCCACCTGTCAGAGTTCATCAGTGCCAGCTGTCAGTGCTCATCCATGCCACATGTCAGTGCCCATCAGTGCCACATCAATGCCACATATCAGTGCCCATCTGAGCTGCCTTTCAGTGTCACCCATCAGTGCCAGTCAGTGCCACCCATCAGTGCCGCCTAACAGTGCCAGTCAGTGACACCTATCAGTGCCAGTCAGTGCCGCCTATCAGTGCTGCCTATCAGTGCCATATATGAGTGCTGCCTTTCAGTGCCCATCAGTGATGCCTGTCAATGCCCATCGGTGCCACCTACCAGTACCTCCTCATCAGTGCCACCTATCAGTGTCCATCCGTGCAGCCCATCAGTGCCCATCAGTGCAGCCTCATTAGCGCACATCAGTGAAGGAGAAAAATCACTTATTTACAAAAGTTTATAACAAAAACTAAGAAAAAACATATTTTTTTTCAAAATGTTCAGTAGTTTTTGGTTTAAGAAAAAAATAAAAAAACCCAGAGGTGATTAATACCACCAAAATAAAGCTCTCTCACAAAAAAATGATAAAAAATTTCATATGGGTACAGTGTTGCATGACCACGCAATTGTCATTCAAAGTGCAACAGCGCTGAAAGCTGGAAATTGGCCTGGGCAAGAAGGGGGTATAAGTGCCCTGTAGGCTAGTGGTTAATGAACTACCAGGGCACTGTTGAGTGCTGTGGTAGTTCATTGATTTCTTCCTGTCAGTATATCTGCTTGCCCGTACATCCCGTATGGGCAAGCGGATATACTAACAGGTCTGCAGGAGACCTGCATGGCACCTGCGATCTACTGATCACTGGTACAATGCTTTACAGGCTCCTGTAACAAAAAATTATAAATAATGTACCTGCAAAAAAATGTGCATTTATTATTATTTGTCAAAATGTGAATTTATCCTTTTAAAGTGATATTAATCGCCGCCGCCCGCCCGCCATATAAGGATATGACAGGAGGGAAGAGATTCTCTTGTTTTGGGAGGACGTCATATGACATCCTCCCACTCTAGCTGTGCATGCACGCTCCCAGGGGTGCACAGCGCGCCAATCTGTGTTGCACTGTGCCGATGACGTAGGCTCTATCAAGTGATCAGCTGTGTTCAATCAAAGCTGATCGCATGTAAACAAGGAATATCGGACCGGAATGGTTATCGGCAGTCCTCTCCTCACGCTGACAGCACATGAAAAGAGGAGAGTCGGTAAGCGGTATTCTTTAGAGGGAACATGTGTATTGGATCAGTGTAGCCCCATCAAATGCCACCTGTCTGTGCCCATAATTGCCAACTGTCAGTTCCCATCAATGCCACATACCAATGTCCATTAGAGCCACATATCAGTGTCCAGCAGAGCTGCCTTTCAGTGCTGCCTATCAGTGCCAGTCAGTACTGCCTATCAGTGTTCGTCAGTGCCACCTATCAGTGCCATCAGTGCTGCCTAACAGTTCCAATCAGTGCCACCTATCAGTGCCGTATATGAGTGCTGCCTTTCAGTGCCCATCAGTGATGCCTGTCAAGACCCACCAGTGAGGCATTGATGCCCATCAGTACTGCCTATCAGTGCCTCCTCATCAGTGCAGCCTATCAGTGCCCATCACTGCTGCCCCATTAGCTCATTCACATTAGTGAAGGAGAAAAATTACTTAGTTTCTGTTATAACATTTTGGAAATAAGAAACTTTTTTTTTTAATTTCAGTCTTTTTTAGTTTGTTTAGCAAAAAATGAAAACCCCAGTGGTGATTAAATATCACCAAAAGAAATTTCTATCTGCCTCAAAAAAAATGAAAAAAATTTTGTTTGGGAACAGTGTTGCATGACGGTATGCCTCAGTGTGAGTGGAAGGAGGAGAGTACGATTTTGGCTCCGGGTAGACGTGAAAGGGGATAGCCACCGTCTGTGGAGCTTTTTAAGCTTGCCTTCCAGGCCGGCTCAGAGAGAAGACAAGTGGAAGGTTGCTGCTGCTGAGAAGCAGGTGGAGGACTTGTTTTGAGCTATGAAAGTGCCAGCATCCCTGCCAGAGGTCGCCGGAGTTTAATCCTGAGAGATGTAATGGTCAGTGGCGCTCCTGGCTGCGCGAACGTCGTTATGGTGCTGGAACAGAAAGGAGATGGCGGCCGCACACGTCCTGGCTCTGCACAACGACACATGAAGTCTCCACTGTCAAAATACTCTGATCGGTGGCTGCTGATCAACAGAAGCTTTGCAGCTTGTCCAAACAGAGATTGCCATACAGAGGCTCACAAGTTCCAGGTGGCACGGAACAATAAACTGATTTAACACCAAAGAATTTTCAGCAGGAGGAAGGAGGAAACAAAGGAGAGGAAGCTCATTCTATGGCCTTCCTATCTCAGCCCCAGTATTTTAGACATTAGTGCAGACCTGAGGAGTATGCACGCTGTGACCAGACCGGTATTCTTCTCACACACCATCGAGGGACCACCAGAGGATCATAGTACCAGGCAGCTCCCACCCAGGATCCCCGGATGTATTTGATCTTGTAATGCGCAGTGAGATTGCGCTTCTGGTGAGTAGGCAATCTATCTATACCTTTGTATCAGAATACCGGACCATACCCACGGTGATTGGAGTTGATTAACACAACCCTGGACAATACAATCCACATACAGTACATGATTATATCGGACTTATGATATTTATTTACTACTGATTTCTTTACTAATGGTTCAAGCTTGTCTCAGGATTTTCTGTCACTTTGTTTGTAGTGCTGCACTCCCTTATTGATAGAGTGTTGCATGACCGTGCAATTGTCATTCAAAGTGTGACAGCACTGAAAGCTGAAAATTGGCCTGAGCAGGAAGGGAGTAAAAGTGCCCAGTAGGCAAGTGGTAAAGGCATTTTGTTTTTAAATAACAAACATGTCATACTTACCTGCTCTGTGCAGTGGTTTACACAGAGCAGCCCGAATCCTCCTCTTCTCGTGTCCCCTGCTGGCACTTCTGGCCACTTCCCCATGCCTAGTGCCCCCACAGCAAGCAGCTTGCTGTAGGGGCACCCAAGCAGGCTCACTCTCGAGCCACTGCTGTGTGTCCATTCACATACAGAGCCATGGCCCCTTCTCTCTCCTCGTTGGCTAACTGGCTGTAAGTAACATTAACTTGCACCAATTAGTCCTGCTGCTGTCTCAGCCAAGAAGGAGGAAGAGTCCCAGGAGACCCAAGGCTCACGTGCACATCGTTGGATTGCGATGGGGCTGAGGTAAGTAATAGGGAGAGATGGGGGAGATGCTGCACACAGAAGGTGTTTTCTCTCCATATACAGAATGCATGAAGGTAAAAAAACTTGAGCCTTTATGTAACAGAACCAGACTGCACTAGGGTATTTCCGTTAGACTCCCGCTTCTCTGTCCGAACACAGATCCACGGACACCACCGCTGACTATACAAGATGTAACAGCACCAGACTAGTCTTAAAACAGGAAATGGACTGCTTTATTTTAACATAGATGCAAGATATATACACAGTAACAGGAAACACATCAGCAGGCCGTCCCATCAGGGGGAAGGACTGTTGGAAATACCCCCCACCAAGCCAGTACAAACACATAATAGAACAATGGGATACACCATGTGGCAGTAGACAATACACAAACCCATACATCCCATAATAGTTTGCTGGCCAGCAAGCCACACAATAGAACAATGGGATGTAGCACATGGCAGTGAACAATGGACAACCCCCACACCCCACCTATACATGTCTACACAGTATTAGGACAGACCACCCTGTACCCCTAACAGGCACAGGGTGACTTACACATAATAGGGATATGAGGAGCTGAGACAGGGGTCTCCCCACCTCTCCAAAGGGGGCTGTGTTCCATGGGCCCCCACCCAAAGTCACTCCCGTCACACTTTACAACCACTTTAATCTAAAAACTACACATCAAAATGTCCACAGGGCTGTTGAATTCCTATCGCCCGACGCCTGGGACATGTAGTTCCGGGCACCAGGCAGGTAGTTTTTTTTTTTTACTTTTAGACCTGCTGCGGGCAAGCAGCAGGGCTCATCTGTCAGGTGAAAGCATTCAGGTGGCAGCACTGCCACCCGAATGCTTCCACACAGTGCCAGCCTCTCCCCTTTGTGTGAACCCCCCCTGCCCACTGTCACCCACTATATTACTTTCAGTGGAGTACAGGGGAGACATGCGGGGTCTTTTAGACCTTGGATGTCTCAATAGAGAACCTGTCACCAAAAATTATTACATAGGGGACAAAGTCCTCTATGTGATGAAAAAGAAAATTAAAGTAAAAAAAAAAAGTAAGCCTCAGAACATACTCCTGGCCATAGTCTCTATGCTATACTGTGTGGTACATACCTTGTACTGAATATGGCTGCTGCACCCTGTGTAATACGCACTCCTCAACACTGCACAATGCACACTCCAGAATCCTGTATTCTGTGTGTTTTAAATTCCTGAACCTTGCACCTTGTGCGATACACAGTTCTGGGCCTTGACCACACACATTTGGTGAAGCTGTAATATTCTCCTCTGAGTAAGGTGTGGCTGGGGGAAGGGTTGTGGCTGTGTGGTTGGAGCGGGAGTTGGCTGGGGAGGGTGAATTCCTGTACTTTCACTCTCTGAGAAAAAAAAACCCTGTATATATATATATATATATATATATATATATATATATATATATATACATATATATATATACATACACACAGTGGATATAAAAATTCTACACACCCCTGTTAAAATGTCAGGTTTCTGTGATTTAAAAAAATGTGACAATGGCTTTTGCTGTAGAATGTGGCTAAGAAAATTTTAGGAAAGACCTACTAGAACAGTTGAACTTTATTTGGGGTTAATCAGAGGCACTTTAAATGATGGCAGGTGTGTACTGACTCCTGTTTAACATGATTTTGATTGTGATTGCTTAATTCTGAACACAGCTACATCCCCAGTTATAAGAGGGTGTGCACACTTATGCAACCACATTATTTTAGTTTTTTTATTGTTACTTCCCTCCACCTAAAAGATTTGTTTTTCAATTGAGTTGTACAATTTATAGGTCACATTTAAAGGTGGAAAAAGTTCTGAAATTATTTATCTTTGTCTCATTTTTTTTACATCACAGAAACCTGACATTTTAACAGGGGGGTGTGTAGACTTTTTATATCATATATATATATATATATATATATATATATATAT